CACACACACACACACACACACACACACACCTCTGCTCCTTCAGAAATGTATAAGTCTGTTTTATGTTCTAGTAAAACATGCCATTATAAAACATGGACATAAAGCTGCCTGTAACACATTCACTGCTAAAGATGAGATGATCATCAAACCCTCAATTCATCATTCCATTAGAAAACCACAGACCCCAGCAGAGCAGGACAGAGACAAACCAAAGCTACCATGTGTGAGCCAGTTCTTGAAGCTGGTTTACTCTCAGACCAAGGTTCAGTTTTAAAGAACTGGGCAAAATCAGGACAAATGACATTCTTTGAAAACATCAAGAATTATTTACATTATTAATGTGGCAATATCAAGCGTTATAATGTGTTATAACCTTAGAATTATTCAGGACAAATTTACTTCCAAAACTCACCAGTCATGGGTTCTTTGAATGACTAGTTTGTCTAAATTAGGCTGGCTATGGTCATGCATATGGATATGGTCAATCGTACACTTATCAGATACATTTCTCAGCAACACATGACCATTCAAAAGTTTGGGTTTTGCGTTTTTGAAATAAATCTCTTATGCTTACCAAGACTGCATTTATTTGTACTATTGTGAAACACTATTACAACTTGAAATATTAAAATTACAACCGTTTTGTATTTGAATATATTATTCCTTTGATTGCAAAGCTATATTTTCAGCAACCATTACTCCAGTCTTCAGTTTCATGTGACTCTAATATGCTGATTTGATGCTCAAAAATAATATAATTATATAATATTTCTTATTATCAAGATCACACTGTTGTGCTGCTTAATATTTTAATGGAAAACATGTCACCTTTGATCAATTTAATAAATCCTTGCTGAATAAAAGTTTTTTTTTTTTTTTAATTGATAGATGTTTAGCAAAGGCCTTCAAATTAATAAATAACAGATATTTAATAAAGAAATGTGGTAATAGCTGTAATGGTGGTGCTTAAAGTTGTCATGCTAAATCTCTCTCAGAAAAGTTACTTCACTAAATCCATCCCCTTTAATCCACCTTATTTTTAACAGAAGAGCGAGCACAGCCATTTGTAACTTAAGGCTTCTGGCTTCCAGTTATTACAGCTGTAAAAACATTCTGTTATGTAGCTTGATAATGCAAACTGGTATTTGTTATATTATTTTAAAATATTATTGTAATTAGTGTTGCTTTCGTCAACGAAAATTATGACTAAATATCGTCGTCAACCAACCTTTATCACGTGACGAAAACGAGACGAGACGCAACATAAATGCTGGTCATGTGACGATGACTATAATTAAATGTATAATGCAATATTGTTGACGAATAAAAACGAGACTAAATGTGGTTTACAAAATAAAAACTATGGGTGCCGCGACTAAAAAAAGGTTGGGAAACACTGATTTAGAAGACGAAAACCAAACAAAGTTAAGTCTGACACAGAGAAAGGGACCGATGGCCGGCCAGCCGGGGTTCGTCTTTATTTAAATTTATGTGTGCGTACTTCTAACGTGTTTGGTTGGTAAAATGAATGTTGTAAATTCAAATCAGAGCGTCTTCCGTGTCTGGAATGGATGTATTCTTGAGTCTATAAGGTAACAATAATATAATAAGATAACCTTGTTTGAAATGGTTTTGGCTAAAAGAAAATGTTGGTTTCGTCTATACTACTAGGTACTTACACTATATTGACTGTGTTAAATAGAATTGCATTTCTAAAAAGAGACTAAAACACAATTTTCGTCGACTAAAACTAGACTAAAATGTCATCAGTTTTCGTCGACTAAAACTAGATGAAAATAGTCATGGATAATTCTGACTAAAATAAGACTAAAATGCTCAGACTTTTAGTTGACTAAAACTTGACTAGACTAAAAAGAGTATGAACGTGACTAAAACTAATAAAAACTAAAATGACAGCTTCACACAAAGACTAGACTAAAACTAAAATTAAAACAGGCCGCCAAAAACAACACTAATTGTAATCATAAACACACACAATCCATGTTAATTTTAGGTATTTACAACTAGTAAAAAAAAAAATATCAATTTCCCAACAAGTATTTTAGTGTTTTTAAGTTTCAGAGAGCTCTGCTTTAGATGTTGTCAGAATACATAAAAACATGTCCAGAGTTTCATATTATAAAATGAGGCACAGTTTTGTTTGGCTAAATGATGACAACACGTTCACAGTTGTCTGAGTTGGCTGCGGTACAGCAGGATTACTGCAAGATCTGCTGGTATGAGGTCACCTCACTGAAATAGACAGACATCAGATTTCCTCTAGAAGCCACTCACACTTTATGACCATCTGTGTTAGAGATGCTTCAAAACTGCTAACAACCCCAGAACAAACATGGCCATGTCCATGTCTGCGAACAGGAAATGTGTAAATAATTGAGTAATGTGAATTAAAAAGAGAAAAAGTGCAGAGAAGAGAGAGAACAGCTGGAGTCGGTTTATTTCTGCTTCTCTAGCTCTAAGGAATGTACTACAGTGATAACCAAATAGCTGGCAATGCATTTACCTTTATGGCAATTAGTAGTAATATGATGCAACCACTATCAACAGTAGGGCTGGGTTTTGACACAAATTTCACGATTCGCGATTCGATTACCAATTCGATTCAATGTCGATTATTTTGGATATATATCAGGTACAGTACATGTCAAATTTTCTCAAGGAAAAAAAGCTCTCAACTAATGCTGTAAAATATACATGAGAGTCAGTTGGTACTACATTACTATAATATTGAAGGTTAAAATCAACTGATTTGTTAAAATTACACTTAATGAAGTTTTTTAAATAATAAAGTTACAATTACATAATAATATTTCTACTTCAATTAATTTGTTTGAAATATAAACATAATGGTGGCTGTCATAAAAACTTGATGGATTTATTCAAACATAAATTAAACATTGAAGAACAGTAAAATTTATAATGAATATGTTATATGGTGCATATATTTAGCAAAATGCCCCTCCCTACAGTTTATTTTTCTATCTGACTAGCGAGTTTATGGTCACCAAATATGTTTTTCTGAGGTAAATGTGACGTTCCGTGACATTGTTTACAAGCCGTTATATTGACATCTTTGCGCGGATGAAACACTGATTGAGCGATTACATAAGACAGGATACAGATTGTAAAGTTGTACTCTTTCTTTTAACTTACCTTCGGATGTTAAGTCGTGTTTATTTTGTGCTGAAACTGGTATTAATGTGGAGGAGATGAACAGTTCACGTGCGCCTCGTGCTGCTGCGTCTGTTGAACTGAGGCGCTACAGCGATCGGTCACTTCACATTAAACAGCGCCAAAACGGCATTTATTGTTTGAATATTACAATACAATGGAAATAAGTTGAAATCTGAGACTTTGTTTCATATTAAAAGTACCAAAGCACAATGCTTATTGCGATTTATTGGATGGGAAGTGCCCTTCAATGTTCTGTCCATTAACTGAACACAGGCTAGACTAATCGATTCTTGGGATTTAAGAATCGATATCGTTCCGTAAAAATGAGAATCGATTAATATCGAGATATCGATATTTTTTACCCAGCCCTAATCAACAGTAGTGAAGATATTGGAGCAAACTTGATCAGTATCTCCTGAGATATACTATTGTTGAGTGTAAGAAAAGACAGGAAATGTAAAATGTAAAAATCACTGTTCTATGGTTTACTGGTACCATAAACAAATCATTCTGTCTTTCTGTCCAAATTTCTTTGGCTAAAAGAACTTTTAATGGGTGCTATATACAGTGCCTGATTAAAAATGGCTTGAATTGCTTAGAAATGTAATCTTATTACATTCATTACTGCATTTTAATTAGGGCTGTGCCAATTAGTGTGATAACGACAGTGGTGGAGCGCCTCTGCGTGGTACAGCGAAACATACAACGTACATGCACATATAAAGGTTTTTTGACCTAATTATTAGGACTCTAGTGAAGTAACAAAGCTTAAACAAAATAATTGATTAGCAGCCAAATGTTACATTGCAACCATGAAAACAACTGGATTCATGTCAAGAAAAATTAAGCCATACTTTGTGTTCAGTTTTGCAGACTGGTCACTCAAATTGTTACAGAAAGCATTGTTAGTTAATTTTTTTTTCATTTGGTAAATAAATTTAGATACTAAATTTCTCATGCTTTCCATGTTTTAATGCACTTTTAAAGTTTGAATCTCAGTAAAAGCATAATTTGTATATTGTGAATACATTGTATGTATACAGTCATGTAGGTTATTCCAATCCAAACTTCCAATCAAATTTCCAAATTTGCAATCAAATGCTAACTTAGTCTATACTTTGTGTAAATGTTAAATTATTTTCAAATTTTTAAGCATAAACATTAAGTAAGTTACATTAAGTATTGTTACATTAAGTAAGATGTTATTGTCTGATAAGGCATTACCAACAGCCATTCTGTGGGATCAGATCCAACTCAACGGGTGGACTGAATTGCTTATGACACAAGCAATGCATCCCATTTGAGGTCAGATTTTCAAACGTTGTGGGCCCATTAATAACTTGAGATCATCCAGCAGCAGAAATGCTTACTACAAATAATAATACATCCACTCTAGCAATAAAACCTCTGTACGTGTGAACGCACCATGACACAGCACTCGCTATACAGAGGTGAACAATAAAGTGGGTTGGTCTAGCTGTTAGGAGAAAGGAGGAAAGCTGTGTTAAGTAATTAACCTTTTTGTGACATACATCTCACTATTAGAGAGGAAACAAGAGCTAAGGGAGAGAGATAGTAGGATATCTGCATGTCTAAATCTAATGTGGGATTTAAACACATAGGTTGTCGGTATTAACATCCTACTCCAGGTATTGACATTAGAGGTATTGACATTAGACAATAGAGGATGTATAAACCCCATCATGCCTGTTTCCGGTTTATAAACTTTACAAAACACCCTTCTTTATGGATGATTTTTCCTAACAAATGTTTTTTTTAATTCAAATGCTTAAAAAGATCAAATAATAAATGCTCAAATGATAAATCAAATGTGATTTCATTTCCTCATTCGGGGAAGCATGAACTGCATCAAAAATCTAATTTAAAAAACATTTGTATTTGATATCTAATTTTCATTATCAAGTCAGTAAAAACCTGACATAATGAAATCTATAATTCAAAGCTTAAAGAATAAATCAAGTGCTCATATGCTCAAATCGACATCGCAAATGGAAAATCAAATGCTCAGATGATAAATCAAATGCTCAAAAGCGAACCGCAAAAGGCAACTGATAAATCAAATGCAAATGAGAAGTGTCAATCAAGTATCATGGGCGGAGCCTGCCTCAACACTGTTTACACTCCAACTGATGCACGTGAGCAAACAGACAGTACTCTTATTTACCTATTTGCCACTGTACCTTATATTTTATTCCTCTCTTTTAGTCTGTAATGGAGTGTGTGTACCATGGCACCAAGCTCCTGCTGGTAGAAGGGATACTCCCTGGATTTAGTGTAAAAACTAAGGAATTATATATTGTATTAGGTGCCAAAACAATAGAAGGAGACCCGGGTTGCTCTGTCTGTTCGTTCACATGCATCTATCGGATTGGCAGCTGCCTTTAGCGGTGGCAGGTTTTCGTGGCAGCTCCCCCTGCCAAGATTTTACTCGCTCTCTGTGAAATTACACCATGAAAAGCCACAGTGCTCGTCGCAGTCACCGAACTCTTCTGTCTCAAAGCTCCGCCCACACTAGTTGATTTGACACTCCTCATTTGCATTTGAGCATTTGATTTATCATATTTGATGTCTGTTTGAGCATTTGATTTGCCTTTTCCGGTTTACGTTTGAGCATTTTATTTGTGATTTAAAGGGGTCATATGATGCAATTTCAAATGTTCCTTTCTCTTTGGAGTGTTACAAGCTGTTCGTGAATAGATAAGATCCCTAAAGTTGCAAAGACTAAAGTCTCAAATCCAAAGAGATATTCTTTATAAAAGTTAAGACTTGTCCATGCCTATGGGATTACATCTCTGCCGCAATTCTGCGAGCGAAAGATCATATTTTGAGCGTGCAAAAGTGCGTTTTGCACACGCGCAATAACTACTATTAATCTTGTATTTAATCATTTATAATTGATATATAATTATTCATGAAGGCTGGAAGTGAAAAATGTCTTATATTCAGGTGTGCGTAATTATTAAGCAGATTTTCTTTTACATATAAAATGAGCCAAAAAAAAAGATTTAACTCAGACTGAAAGTCAAAAATTATTAAATTCTCATGAGAAATATTAAAAACTAATACAATACTAGAAATTGCAAAGTTGTCTCTTCACATCCCGATAGCAATCATTAAGTTAAGTGGTCTAAATGTATTTGTCTGTATTTATATATTCTGTGGAAGGCGTAGGATAAAGAAATGTTCGTCCAATCAAAACGATCGGTCCGAGCGTTTTAATATGCTTTCCTACCTGCCTGTCAACGTATCCGTCAACATATGTATCTGCATACCTCTGCGCACCAGGTTCGCGCAGACAGGATACGTCATCAGCGCGTTCACGCACGCTGTGCAGACAGAGCGAGAATCACAGACAAACATCAACAACCCGATCCTCCTTCCTGTATTGTAGTACTTTTAAAGTTTTCTCACCGGTGAATGACACATGATGTAGCCCAGCGGTTAATCCAGTCCTCGCGCACCAGCTCGTTAGAAGTGAGCTACGTGCATGAACTGTATTCCGATCGATATGATCCCCACACAGTGTTCATTGCGCCCTACTCCCTGAGCGGGGGACCTTTAAACCGCATAAACACTTTTCATTACACCAAATACACAAAATAATGTTCTTTTTAGCAACATTATATGACCCCCTTTAAGCATTTGATTTCTCATTTGCGATGTGGGTTTGAGCATTTGATTTATGATATTTATTTTAGCATTGAATTAGATTGAATTATGACAGGTTTATACTGGGTTGATAATGAAAATTAAACATCAAATACAAATTATTTTGATTTAGATTTTTGATATAATTCATGTTACGGTTATATTTCTACTTTAACACCTTTCTTGTTATGTGGTTTGTTGGCAGTGTAATGTGCTATGCAGGTGAGGTTGTGTGTGGTACTGACCGAAGGGTGGCGTGTGGAGCTGAAGGTGTACTGCACTGAGTGAGGTGGGTAACGGCTCTGCTCGCTGCTGAAGGACCCCTGGCTGGGGGGGAAGCCTGAACTAGACATGCTGCAGCTGTCTGTTGGGATGCTGGAGGCTCAGAGGGGGCCTGGAGCACTGCTACTCAATCATAGGCTCCAAGTCGGCATGATTACGCTGCCAAACCACCTGAGGAAGAGAGAGAGCGAGAGAGAGAGAGAGAGAGAGAGAGAGAGAGTTATATTATGCCAAATTACTGCATTATATTACTTAGATGTATATTTTGCTTCTGTAAATATGTCTAATCCAGGGGTGCCCAAACTCGGTCCTGGAGGGCCGGTGTCCTGCAGAGTTTAGCTCCAACTTGCCTCA